ATAGTCATTTGACTGAGATGGGTGGCTATAGAAATTGAATGAATAAATAAATAATTGTATTTATGCTGTGCATGATGAACTGATACATTTTAAGACATGTATTTCTTATAAGATACAGAGGTGGATGGATGGATGGGTGAATGAATACAAAGCAAGGTTTTTATGTTTTGTTAAAGTTTATTGTATGTCTGGAATTAAATTATTTTCTTGTTTAGCATAAAAAAGGAGTTGCTACTGTTAGATAGGATTGTAAGATCTGTTTTTGCATTGCAGTGCATACTATTTCCCCATACCAGAGACAGCCAATTTCATGTTATTCCTCCCAGCTTATTGCCAAGGAACTAGAATGATAATTGTCATTATTTTTTACCAATCACAATTGTATCTTTTAGTCCTTATTCTGAAACTTTCCCCCATAATTAAAGAAAAGTTAATTAAATAAATTAGATTAATTGATTAAATTAAGTAAATGAAATAAAGTTGATAAATAAATAGCTTTTTTCTAGATAAGCAAGATATAGTTATATCTTTTCTCTTCAATTTGCTATACTCAAATACAGATTTTATGTGTATAACCATATTTCTTTTCTACCTAATTTGTTTTGAATAATGTATTTAACTGAAAAGAAAACTAGGATGTCCCTTAGCAATAATTTAAAATAGAAGATTCAGGTGTTTTGGTTTAATTCTCCTTAAACAAAGCAAATTCTTTCATTTGCCATTAGAATAATGGCCTTTTTTGTCGATTTATACAGTATTCATAAAGCTTTTGCATCTTTTTAGTTCCCTACTGTAGAACGTCCCTTAATATATAAAGAGGTTCCACCTCACCATTCAATGTGTCTCCTGAAGTGTGAGTCCCATGGTTCCCTCAGTTCCTTTTTGGCTGCCATTGTGTTCACATTTGAGATAATTATTCCTTTGTCCAATTTGGAGAACTGTAAATGGGATTCAAAGTGGTGTTCTTTCATGTTATCTTCCGCTGTTGATGCTTTAATGAAAAAGCAGTTATCTTGGTCACATTAGTCTATGTACTGAACAGATCCTGAGGATTGCAAAGTCCCGGTTATTAAAAATTAAGAAACCCTGATTCCCAGCTTTCTGACTTCACTGTCTGTCAGAGGCTTTGGTGTTTATAACTATTCCATTGTTGACAGCTATCTCAAGAATAGCAAACTAAATTATCCCAGGTCAAATAGGAAAGATGCTTCTTTTTGTACAAACATCTAAAGACAAATCATAACCTACCAGCACACAAAATAGATATCTTCTCCTTTGACCGGCCATAAGGGCAGTAAGCTTAAATGTATTCAGCAGACTTTTTTCTCTCATCTGCTACTACAACCTTTTTGATTTTAAAGAATTGTACATACAATTTCATACAGCAGAGGAAAGCAGCTTCCTTTTTTGGAACTTGTGTCAAGGGGCAAAGATTTTAATATGATGCAGTCACTCAATAAAAATAGTAAATTATCACTTTGAAACATCGATTAGACTAGGCTTCCGGGAATGGTCCTCTATCATCATTCATGGCTTGGGTCATCTCATTTCATTCAAGAGTGAAATACTATATTGATGAGCTTCCCTTTAGTGGGAATGGCCAGTTTCAATAAAAAAAATTAAGTTAATCTGGACAAAGTCCAAAAGGTGAACATTAGAGCTTCTTGTATGAATACCACAACTCATTAATAAACAAGAGCAGTATATCAGCTGGAGACTGCACATAGCCCAAAGTCACAAGATATCTTACTCCTGAATTTCAACAGATAACCAAAGAGAAGCAGGTGAAAAATATTAAAAGAAGTTTATACCTTCCTTTAGTCTTAACACACCAGGAGTACCAAAACAAAACCAAAAGCCAAGAATCTCCTCTCCTCCAAATGGCACCCTTGTCCATTTTGGTGTCCTAATTGCTTCAAAACCCAATTATTGTAGGACTAAACTATACTTTTATGGAAGAAATAAGGCTTGCAGTCACCAAATATTTTCTCCCCGTCCTGCATTCAAATCACATAGCAACCAGTTTTCAAGCTATTCAACCAAGGAAAGTGTCAGTCTTCCTGATCTTTTTCCAGCTTTCGGTTTTTACAGTCCTTCAGCATGTTGAAGAGTTGGTTGTTCGGTGAGAGTCTGCTTTGCCTGCTGTGAAATAAAATGTCACAAAGAAACAATCACGGTTGGGATGAGGCATTACCTGGAGTGCTCATTTTCTTTTTTTTCCATTGTGCAGCTGATGGCCATTCTTTCTCTCCTCATTCACTAAGCTCCAGGTAGCAACCATGGTGACTCTCACACAGCAGGATAATGATACTGCATGGAAGGACCTTTAGATCGATGACATAAATTACTTGCTAATTTTGAAGAGCATTTGATTCATTCCTACCACAGGCGTTCTTTGCCTTCTTTGTGGACGGGTTGTTTTTTCATTACAGTCTCAAAGATGTGTATTTTCATAGTTTGATCTGATCCAAGTATGTTTTGTATTTTGCTTTCAGTTTCAACTTCTGTCTTTTTGGTGTTCATGGAATGTTTATCAAATTCTGCCTTTGAAACCACACATTATAAGATTATGTTAATAAAGTTTGGTATAGCAAAATTATCTAGCAAGACATTCTAAGTAAACATAGTTCTAGTAGATTACTTCCTATCTGCATATCTTAATTAGTTGTAATAAAATGAAAATAAAATCAGTTTTATGAGGGCTGAATTCACATTAATAAACTATCCAAGAATATTTAAAGAATTGCTGACCATGCAAATTTCATTTATGGGTTGATATAGTCATATTCTTGTATTGATCAAACATAAATTGTAAAACCAAAAAAATGAGTATTGTAACCTTTGTCTATATTTTTTGAAGTCTGAACACATGCAGTATTTTTTTTCTTCTTCCAACATGCACAGCTTTGTTTGGCATGTTTTCCTATTTGGGAGAAGAGATTTTATTTTATGTGTGAGACCAGTTATAAACTATTTAAAAGACTGCTAGATAACGTTGATCACAGGTGTCAAACCTGATCGTGTCACGTCACTTATCGTGATGTATCGTGACATTTTTTGCCTTTGTGGAGCCAGGGTGAGCGTGGCCTGCACATGATGCATCCAGCTCGCGGGCCGCCCGTTTCACACCCCTGACATAGATGATACTAAGGTTTTCAGTAGAGGTGGCAGGAATAAAGGCTTAAAAAGTAAAAACACCAACATGAACATAGAGATATAAATTCATGTTAATGGTATACTTTCATATTGTTATTATTTCCTAGAGAGGGATTTATCAGATAAGTAATTGAAGTAGACTACAACCCTATGCATACTTAGTTGAGGAAAAAACTAAAAATGAGATTTAATTCTGATTAAATATGGAAGAATTGTAAGTAGGAATAGCCTTATTCTCTATATTTAGTGTACAAAGGGTAGAATTCACAAATTCAACACTTAATTGGCAAATTAAATGTGATTTCCATAAGGATAGTTTTCACATGAAAATAGTAGATAACGGATGATGCTACGGTGGGAAAAGACCCCATAATATGGCCAATTTTTCCATTTATTGTTGCATATTATATATACTGCCAAATGCATAACCTTTTAAATTGTTTTGTTTTTAAGATACATTGTCATTCTAACTAATATTAGAATGTAAGATTAACTGTACTATATAATTATAAATCTAGAAAAATGTAGGTTTGGTCATTATTTGTAAGCTCTCGTACATCATTAAAACATGGGGTATGAAAACACAGCAAAGGCATAGTGTTCAAATTTTCATTTTCATAAAATCCATACAGAGAACCATTTTAGTCTGTTTTAGTAAAAGCAATGTTCTGTGATGTCTTTAAGGTCAAAAAGATTCATTGGTGCTTAAGTTTTTGTAAACAAGATGCAAGAAATATCCTGAGTTGTAACATGAGAATAGAAGAAAAATAACTGACCATAGGACGAACACTGTACGCTATGAAAAGTAGAAAATTTGTAGAGTTGAAACAGTCACCTACTTCTGATAGCAGCAATTGTGATCATTAATGCCTTGGGATAGTTAGATCTGCAAATACTACGTGGCACGAGTATTACTATATTACACTGGAATATTCACTCACTGTGATGCAGTATATATTTGGAGATATATGTCATATACAAAAGCCAATGCAAATATTGTTATAACAGAGCTGTAGCTGTAAACTGCATGTTTCAAATATGTAGTACAGAAGTATATAGTACAAAAGTGAATTTTAAAATTTGTCCTTTTGGCAATCATCTATACTTTAATAGCAAAGCAAGTACTAGCAATAAAAACAGCAAAATCTTTTTAATTTGAGCATGCAGTGGAAGAACTAAAGGCTTTTATGTTTCATAAAGTTAGGGAATTTGTGAAATCCTGTTCTATGTGTTACTGCATGATAAGGTGGTGGTGAAGCAGTGCACACGCACAGTGTTAAGACTAAATGCATGAATCCCTTGCTTGATGCCCCACATAAGCCAGATTATGGGGAAGTTGCATCCAATTTTTGTGTTGCCTTGTAATGCCTTGCTGTTTATTTATATAGCATATTTATATAAAAACAAGAGAATGGATGTTTATACAGAAAGCTTTTTCTGTGCTAATGACATCAACACAATTTCAGTAATGCAATTAACACCTCTAGGTGTCCATTCTGCTTTAAGAATCATTTCTGTATGGAGAAAGAAAGTGTATGTTGCACATTGCAGTTATGGGCTGACACAAAAGACATACATTGCAGTCTGTTGGATATGTCGGCAGAGTTCTTCTCTATGATCTTCTCTTGATACTGTACAAAATGGGACATAGGATTAAAATGCAGTTTCACTTAAAAATTGCTCTCGGAACTCTGCTTTGAAATCTTTTAAATATAAAACTTTTTCAAGGTTACATCTGGGAAGTCTGAATGTGAGCCCATACTCTAATGTGATGATTATGACTTGAGTTTCCCATATGCCTCACTAGTCTATTTCTTATTTCCTATCTCTCCTTTAATTGGAAGAAATGTTAAAAAGAGAAGATACGATCCAAGTCAACAAGGCATCTAAGGAATTCCCTGGAAGATTGTGGCTGTGCTCGACTGGACTCTGGAGGCTCTTTGAAGCAGCTGGCTCTCCCTGCAGAAGCGTACCAGTCATTGTCTACCAGTGGCAAGCTAAGGCACTTATGAAAGGGCTGAAGGAAAACTGTCCTTTACTGGAGATTTAAATTCAAGGACTTCCTCCACTCATTTCTCTCTTTTTGGGGGGATGTTAGTGACAAAACAAACTTTGGGAAGGAACTATTTCGCCTATTTTTTGTTCTAAACAAAAATGGAGCAAACAAACCAAGCGCAATAAGTAAACTCTTTCAAACTATTTAAATAGGTAAAGAATTTCTTAATAATTTGAGTTCGCATGATGTTTTAATATTAATGGCAGACTCCAGTGGCATGATAATTTCTAAAATGGTGAATTGCATGGCATAAACACAGCAAATGAGCTAGCAAGAGAGTCCCAAATAAAATCTATTTACCAAGAACATGATAGAACAAACACAGAAGAGCTGATTCTATGTTTTACCTGTGAAACAGGATAATTCCTTAATTCTACCTAATATAGGTATTCCTCTTTATTTTGTTTATTTATTGCTTTGGGGCAAACCTCTTTGAGGAATAGCAAATCATACTACACTGAAATATATTTTTAAAAAAGGCTTGGGGGGAAGTCTTATCAAACTCCATTATTACACATTTTTAAAATGTTTCATTCCATATGTGATCTTAAGCTATGCGCGTTCTTAAAATTGTTGCTCCTACTTAATTTTGGGGTAGCCCTTTATGTTTTAGAGGTTTGGGCATAGCGCAGGGATATTCCACAAATAAGAGGTATGCTTTTTAAATATGTATGCTTGAAACCAAAAAAAAAAAGAGATTCATCCAAAACCAATAGGTGTAAATGCGTATGTATACAGTGATTTTTTCCTCTTCAAATGCATTATTTGCAGTCATGCAGATATTTTGTATATATTGTAAGAAGCTGACATCCTCTCAAATTAATCACAGAAGTGCCAAGCTTATGTCTTTTTCATTTTGCCATGTTGTTTTCCTTTCTCAGTCTCATATTGTATGACAGGAAAGAAGCCTAAATAAGCCTTAAGTACTTGTAAAATACTGAGAGCTTTTAACAGGTTAAGGCTTTCCGTGTATTGTTTTATAAAGCCCAGTCTCCCCTTACCCTCAAGACTCCTTTCAGTTTTTAAAAGTACATATACAGGATTCATGTCTTTTTGAATTTATTTCTGTAGTGATTATTTTTCAAAGCATAGCTTTGAACGTTACTTCCTATTGGGCTACATGTGGTTACTGTCACGGAGGTTTGAATTAGAAAAAAAAAACGATGAGAATATTGCCATGTGCACAACCAGATAACATTGAATCCTGCTTAAACAGAGAAGTGGCATTCATGAAACAATAATTTAGCCTCTTCCCTTCTCCCAAGCATCCAAGCCCTGTCATAATCAAGCCTTTTCATCGCTTCTCTCATTAGTAAATGTGAAAAGCCGTAATGGCAAATTTCAGCAACTACCAAGGTGTAGTGGAAATAAAGCTTGCTTGTTTGGATGCTGGCCAACCGCACGTTAATATTATGCCAATATACAAGGCAGCATCCCACTCTGGTTTTGTTAGCGCTGCTGCTGCTGCTGCTGCAGTTGTGCTTAGGGGTTTTCTGTGCCTGTGTGCTGGGATGCAGTGCCAGTGCTAATTAAGCAGTCATGGTCATTAAAGCAACCATAAAGTAACAAACACATTGTTTAATCCTTTATTACCATTGCTATGACATCAGAGCAGAGTAAACTCAATCTGCAATCATATCCAAAACTCCAAAAGCTTGATCATTCATTGCAATGGAAGACTGCTTTGGAATAAGCTTTAAGTGCATAATGAAAAAGCAACTTACTTAAAAGCTTTTTTCCCCAGTCACAAGTATTTGGGCAGGAGCTATTTATAATTCAGTTAATCATATAGAAATAATTTCAATCTGTATATAAATGTTTTATTTTAAGATATATTACCCATTGTGTATTAGCATTAAAAAAGCAAAGCAAAGCAAAATCTGATGCTTTTCAAGTTAATGTTTGAATCTATTTTTAGATTTCCCTGGGTCAGTTAATACTATACCAATGTGTTGGGATGCCTTTCTTCAAGCTTTATTGACAATTGTGTGAAATCGCAGTGGTTTGGCATGACAATCATTTTTAATTCCATTTGAGTTAACTCAGGGGTGGACAACTTGTGGTCCTTGGGCCAACTGTAGCACCTGGTTTTTTATTTATTTGCTTGTTTGTTTATTTATTTATTTATTTATTCCCATTAAGAACTATTAGAGATTGTGCTATTGAAATTTAGTGGAAATAAGAAAAACGGTTCTTCATTTTTTTAATGGGAAATGTAAGAAATAAGGAGCACAAACTGTTTACCATACCTAAATAAGAAAAAATACCCTTCCGGAAACTCCCATTACTAATGTGACTTACTGTGCTTATAGTGCAGCCATTAGCCACAAAAATGTTAGGCATTTCCATTTAGCAGGTTGCTGTCTTTACATAATCCTTGCAATGTATTGAAGCTACTGTTCTACAGTGAATGAGAGAAGCAGTGGAAAGCTTGGAATGCAATTACTGATATTTCAGGTCAATACTCTCCAAAGTCAACAATGAATTTTATCTTTTCTTCCTGACCTGAAAAACAAATTGGAATAGATTCTATACGTGATGTGCTCAAATCCTCTTTTTTCCCCATATAAAATGGCCCTATAGAATATTTTATGTAATGCCACTTTATGTTTAAGTATATTGGAGATTAAAATAAATAGGTGCTAAGTTTGGGTTTTGTTTTGGGAGAAGTGGTAACCACAGTAGATGGTGCCATTCAATATGGCTACAAAGGTCCGTCTGTTATGTTAAGTAAAATCTTTATGTAATTCACAAAACATTGTAATGTGCGATGTGATTTTTTTTTTTAAATCAGACCACACTGGTCCCCAATTATGTACATATGATAAAGTGTTGGGGTAACTTTTTGTTACACTAACAATTTCATAAGAAATATAATTTCTTTTCTAAATTTCTCCTCTGCTGTTCGGTTCTGTATAGATACATTTAAATACACAGATTATGTATAGACTATAAATGACCATACAAACACAAAGCTCACAGAAATGAATTGTCATGTTTTCAGTGGACCTAGCCTTACATCATCAAACCTGCTAAGGTCTATACTTATTTTATAATCATTCATTTACAATATTTTGTAAAGAACACATGCAACTTAGGTTTTTTTTTAAACATGGTATCATTGTAATGGTCTTCAACACAATAAAAAAATCATTTCAGTCGCTATATTTTTGTTTCATTGATAGGATTCAACTTGACAGGAAATGTATGGAAATTTTATATTGCTTATATTGATATGCTGCATGATCCCACTGAATTCAACCAATTCTCAGAGAGGAAAGCTCCACTACGCAAATTAACAAGAATATATTCTAGGTGCATGTTAAAATAAATTACATAGAACTGGAGTTATACGAGATTTTCTTTACTATGCAATGATAGGTATTGCACAAACTTAAAATTCAAAGACAAATGTCTGAAGAACTTTACAAAATACTTGAATTATTTTTGATCTAAAAAGCTATCAGTCATTTTCTATTCATTGTTGCTTACGTTATCAATATTCATCTAAAATAGTAATTATTTTTAAGGTGCACAATTTAACAAACTTATTTTGTCTGAAGCTAATATTCATATCTTGTTGGCTGCAGATGAATGGGAATTCAGTTATTGTTTTGCATCTTAGTAAAGTAGTATTAAAGACATCATAAACATGGAAATCGGCTTCTGTATTTTTCTTTCCTGTGCTGTCATTAGATTAAATTTCACATCAGACCTAATTTTCAAGAAAAGGAAAGGTGTTTGGTATTTTTTTTATAGAATATTGGGAAAACAGTTTCCAAGTTCACTTTTGTTGCAGATGTTAGTCTCTCTTGTTAGCAAATGTGTAATGTTGAATGTGTTTGTGACTGGAAAAAAAAACCCCATTATGAATGTGCAGTTCAGCATACAGTACATGGACCATTACACATCAAATGAATGTCCTATGGATTAATAACACCTTTTGGGAGAATCTGAGGACTCGTAATGATTCAGCCCTTCCAGAAACTAATCCTACAACAGGATTATCTGGAAGTAGCCCCATTAAAAGCAATAGTTCTTTAAACTTGAAATATACAGATTGAAGTATGATTTTAGAAACCAGAAAGGCCCATCTGTTCCTGCACAAATGGGATCATTTATTTGACTCTGCCTGACAGCCTCAGAATCTTTGTGTATAAAGTTGGGTATACATATTGCCACACTATGCTCTTCTTGACCTTCCAACAGCCTTCGATACCATCAACCATGACAGTGATGGCGAACCTTTTAGAGATTGAGTGCCCAAACTGCAACCCAAAACCCACTTATGCATCGTTGAGTGTGGGGTAGGTGTGGCCCATTGGCTGGGTGTGGCCCATTGGCTGGGCGTGGCCACGGTGGTAATGACAGACTGGGTGGGACTAAAAAGTTCAATCAATTCCAACTTTGCAAGATCTTTTTTTTTCCCGCGAGAAGTTGAAATTCACTGATTGAACCTTTTTTTTTTTTTTTGCACAGTGGCGGAGGCCTAAAGCGAAAAGGTTTTTTAAAACCCAGCTGAAGGCCTAGGACTGGGGCAATGGCGCGCGTGCCCACAGAGAGGGCTCTGCATGCCACCTGTGGCACACGTGCTGTAGGTTCGCCACCACTGAACTATGATATCCTTTTGGGCCATCTGTGGGGCTTGGGGCTGGAAATGCAGTGCAATCTTGCACTGGTTTGGCTCCTTTCTCCGAGACCGGTCCCAGTCGGTGTTGATAGGGAGTGAGAGGTTCAGCTCACAGCCACCCCTTTGTGGCGTGCCACATGGCTCAGTATTCACTCCACTCCTTTTCAACATCTACATGAAGCTGCTGGGTGAGATCATTTGTCATCGTGGGTTGAGGTATCATCCGAATGCTGATGGTACTCAATATCTCCACCCCTGGTGTTCCAAGCAGCACTGTGGCTGCCCTCCTGCAGTGCTTGGAGTGGAGGCCTGGATGGAGGACAACAGGCTTTCAGCTGAATCCTAGCAAGATCCCATCAGTCACGGAATTTTAACTGGCAGAGACCAGGAGAAAAGCCTTCTCTGCTGTGGCTCCTGCCCTTTGAAATATCTTACCCCATGAGGTGAGATTGGCTCCCACCCTTCTGACTTTCCATAATAGCCTTAAGACCTGGTCCTGCCAGATGGCTTGGGCCGCA